AGGATGAGTGAAACAGTTATCATAAAGCTAGACCACTATCATATAACCAATTAAAATCTGTAAATCTGTAGAAATGATATTTAGTGGCCTTATATCTGACTGTAATTGGATTTTATGCTGATTGTCATTGATATACACATTTTCGCTATCCTTGTTTATTTCGTCGACTTAAATCGAGTTCGTGAATAATGGAATTAAATAAGTCGAATAGGAAAATGGATTTTTGAATACATATATTTTGTACACATTAATAATATGAACAGACGATCAGAGAGACAAAGTGAAGAGAAATGACGCGCATTAAAGAAGGCAAATTAGTCTACTCGATTTAATCAAGCGTTAATCAATATTTATAGTCACACAATAATAAGTTAGAGACATTTGATGAATGGGATAAGAAGTGTACATACATATACGCTCATATAAAAACAGTCAGGGTACTAGGTTTAAAGTGGTTACGAGTTCACTTAGTCAACGAACAGAACAAAGACTTGTGAACAAAACACCAATAAACTAGCTATTCTGTTTCGTCCCGAACCCGCTAATTAGAGAGAGAAAAGTTGAAGTCCGAACTGGGAAATATATTCCGCAGAAAGCCAGAAGCACGAGCGAGTCATAACAACAGACACAAATCAAAACATATATATACAGCACAAAACCGTCTTTGAGAAGCGTTAAAAATAACATACTAAAAGAGATAATGAACCAATAGCGTTTAAGATGCTCTCAAGTGGGAAATACGACATGAAGGTGAAAAGAGCGGTTTTGGCGTGAAAACAAAGAAATTCAAATTTTCAAAATGAAATTACGAAATTAGGACCTTTTCCAAGTGAGTTCTGAGGATCTAACGTGCACAACACAGGGTTGATAAGTGAGTAATTAACAAGGTCAAAACGTGACTCAAGAAGAATGGATAAGTTGGCCTGTCCAGAAGCTAGAATTAGATGTATATGCTTAACATATCAACCGACACTACAGATATCCTTTATTAACACACTTCATTAAATTATGACACTTTTACAAAAAATAAAATCTTGAGATCCTTACACTGAATAGTTTGTAACAAGAATCCTATTGCTATCCCAATATGGATAGCTCAAACAAACCGTGAGAATTTTCAATGCAAACATTGAATATTAATGAAATTTCACTAATATGAGCAGACTTATATCAAAACAGAAGAAATAATGGTACAGCTATGTCGATCATGTTCTCATAGCTTAAACAAATAATAAGATTATTTACTTTATTTATTTATTTGAACACATAAATCTTGGTACAAATAGGAACCGACTATATATACGCCACAAAAGTCACTTGATTTGTGTGTAGGCTGTGATACTGCCCAGGTGCGCAGACTGAAACAGTTGGTTTTCATAAGGGGTCACACTCGGAACCTTCCATATAAAGGTCTGATCAACAAGGCAATGGAACAACGTCAGAAGATGCAGTCCCATGGTAACCGATGACAGACGATTGATTCATACACCATTTGTTCCTTCAGAATACTAAATTCCATTTACACCACTCGTTTTGAATGAGGGTTTTCCATCTCCCCTATGTGGATCTTCCATATCAACCAAGCCAGTTAAAGCATCGGACATTCTGTTTTGGTCTTTTCAATTTCGTAGACAATAGTAATGCCACAAGAAGGGAGTGAGTAGAACTTGTGTGGTAGTAGCTGTATACGCGTGGTCACGTGAGATTATTTGGAGAGGTAGAGCTGACTCTCACCACCTCCAGCCATACTAGAGTACTTGGGGAGATTTTCTGCAAGGTAGTTCATTTCTAATGACATAATGAATGCTTTTAATTTTAGGGGTGTATTAAGTTATACTGAATGCCCTTAGAAATTTTCCATTACTAAAAATAATCAATAATCTTACATTTTTCATACGATGTCAAGCTCAGATCTTTAAAACTCATCACAATTAAACATTATCATCTATTTGCATAGAGATTTAAAGGACTCAAATGAAAGCCATTTGACTGAATTTTGAACCACTCCACCTAAATGGTTTATTTGTTTTCGAACAAAAGACCACAGATGTAACTAGAAGTTAAGTACAAAAGCGTGTACATCTCAACAGACATAAAGACTGACAAATATATAAAATTTTGCACAAAAGTTATTCGTTTCACATGATAAAGTATCATAGGAGACCAGATATACAAAAGCGGAAAGATTAATAGAAAACGTCAAAGTTTTAGTCGACACTGCGATGGATCTTGAGTCGTATCACTTGAACTACCTAACCAACTATTGGCTTTCATTACCCTATAAACCCCATTCATCCAGGACTACTAGATCTCATGGCATATGCTGGGTCTGATCTATGGTGAGATTAATGTTATGTAATACGGAAGAGTTTTATACTAGGGCGCAAAAGCTGTCCCATGTTACCTGATTCTCAAAGGTACCCAATTGAGATCAGTCTATAACGAACACAACCCATAAATAACTCATTTCTTAAACATAGACAAGTAGCATTCATAAATCATGTAACTCACACCACAACTTTTAACTTATCAAATGGATTGCCTGAGAGAATCACCAGGTAAACGCTCCTTTTTTACATGATAAAATTTCTTATCAGGATAGATCCACAATAAAGTAGAGAGTTTAAGACTAGTTAGAATCAGTTTAAATTCTGAATGCAATCGCATCACTAATATTTGTTCAAATCACCTCTAACTAAACATTTAACAACTTCAAATTAAATCATAAATTATCAGTATAGTTTTTAATTCAGATCGTGAATCGATTGATGTTAGACCACTATTGAAAACCTGGAAGCATTGGACGGCCGTTTCGTCCTATCGTGGGACTACTCAGCAGTGCGTAACCATGATCCCGCCCGTGAGATTCGAACCCAGGGCCTTCAGACTCGCATGCCAACGCTTAACCTCTAGACCACTGAGATGGCCGGTATCCAACGATGTTAATGTCTAACCTCAAACAATTCATGAACTTGCGTGACCATCCTCTATTGTACTAAGGAAAATACCTGTCTCTACCCGACATGAATTAGCTCCACTGTTCACAGCTTCTCACTAGAACTCTGAGAATTCCCTTACGAAACTAGTCACTAGTGAGCACATGGTAATTATCAGTATAGGGTTGTGGAGATTATTAAGTTTTTAATTGAGATCACGAATTGATTGATGTTTTTAATGATGCTCTAACATCAATCGATTCATGATCTCAATCAAAAAATAATAATAAATCACAAATACCGAGAACATAGTGAAAGGTTTGCTTATTTTGAATGAATAAACTAAGAGATTATCTCTCTCAGAAAAATTCCAGGTAAACAACTTGAAACTTATTATTCAGTCTCTTTTTATTACATGCGATCACAAGTTTGATACACAGGCTCATATGAATCAATATTGTAAAATTAAAGAACTTAAGTAATAGCCTAGACACTCTTTGATTATTAGGATCAAGTTCACTTACGGACATTATGACTTTAGTACTTAGTTGAGGTTAAATAAACAACTAAGATCAGACCATATTGAACAGGATAGAATTGATGGATCTATATTGTATCATGATTGAATGGAGTATTAAAACAAATTTTTAATTTCATAGAATAGGTTCATTAACTTGGAACTGAAATAAACTGCCATTTAAGTTCTCAAAGTAGAAACGAATCACATATTGATGTGAAACTCACAAAGACACTTTATCGAAATTCAGAAGGAGTTTTGTGGATATTATAGTAATTTTATTGGTTGAAATCATGGGTCAGTTGAAGCTAAACCACCATAGAAAACCTGGAACCACTGGATGGCCATTTCATCATACTATGTGAATGTTACAGACCACGCAATACTGACAGGTCCTGGGTCCGAATCTCGCAAGGTGAGATCGTGGATGCACACTGCTCAAGAGTCCCACAATAGGACGAAACAACCGTCCAGTGCTTCCAGGTTTTCCATGATGGTCTAGCTTCAATTGATTCACGATCTCAATAATCGAAATTACTACAATCTCTACAAAACCCCTCTCTGATTACAGCCATCATATGCTCACTAGTGACTGTCTTCAAGAGTCATTTCCCGGAGTTCTAGTGAGAAGCAGTAACCAGTAGAGTTCAACCGAGTCTGTTGTAAGACAGTAACTCATTAATGACAATAGTGGATGATTGCGCAATTTCGTGGATTAGTTAAAGTTAGATATTAACACCGTTGAATACCGACCAACTTAATGGTCTGGTGGTTTAGTGTTCGTGCGTGAGACCGATAGGTTCTGAGTTCAAATTTCTCGAGGCAAGATCGTAGATGGTCAACGGTTATCCAGTGCTTCTAGGTGTTCCATGATGTTCTAGCTTCAATTGACTCAAAATATACAATTAAAAGACTCTAAGATCTAGTTTATAGTAATAAAACAATAATTATATAATAAAAAAGAAGATACCTTTTCAAGTTGTGATGCTAATTTTTCATTTAATACATGCATTTCTTTACGACTTTGTTCACGTGCTTCACGACAACTTCTTGCTTCGGGTAAATCCATTGTTAATGTATTTCTAGCTAAACGATCTAATGAACTAATACTTTCAGTTTTATTACGCCAAACTTCTTGTGACATAATAATGATTAAATAGATATGAATATGTAATGTATATTCTCTTGACAACAAGAAACAAGGTGTATTTTTATTTTGTTTGTTTTTTGTGTGTTTTATTTAAATTTTAAATATCCGCATGTTTCTAGAATCATTTAAATTTAAAAAAAAAAAAGAAAATGTCGATATTATATATGAAACATTAAATTGATATACTCTCTTTTATGGGATTAAATTCTCACAAGGTCAACTGTTCACACATGATCTGCTCACTGATTGGTTGATAAAAAAATTGAATTATTGATTTTTTTTTGAAAATTAAATTTTTTTGGAAAAAATCATTCAATATTTGAAATCCAATGGATAATTAGTTGAATACTTATTGGCTTGAATCAGAGTGTATAATAACCAATGAGATTATTCTTTAATGGTAAGTATTAATAATAATAATAATAATAATAGTAGTAGTAGTAGTAGTAGTAGTAGTAGTAGTAGTAGTAGTAGTAGTAGTAGTAGTAGTAGTAGTAGTAGTAGTAGTAGTAGTAGTAGTAGTAGTAGTAGTAGTAGTAGTAGTAGTAGTAGTAGTATTAGTAGTAGTAGTAGTAGTAGTAGTAGTAGTAGTAGTAGTAGTAGTAGTAGTAGTAGTAGTAGTAGTAGTAGTAGTAGTAGTAGTAGTAGTAGTAGTAGTAGTAGTAGTAGTAGTAGTAGTAGTAGTAGTAGTAGTAGTAGTAGTAGTAGTAGTAGTAGTAGTAGTAGTAGTAGTAGTAGTAGTAGTAGTAGTAGTAGTAGTAGTAGTAGTAGTAGTAGTAGTAGTAGTAGTAGTAGTAGTAGTAGTAGTAGTAGTAGTAGTAGTAGTAGTAGTAGTAGTAGTAGTAGTAGTAGTAGTAGTAGTAGTAGTAGTAGTAGTAGTAGTAGTAGTAGTAGTAGTAGTAGTAGTAGTAGTAGTAGTAGTAGTAGTAGTAGTAGTAGTAGTAGTAGTAGTAGTAGTAGTAGTAGTAGTAGTAGTAGTAGTAGTAGTAGTAGTAGTAGTAGTAGTAGTAGTAGTAGTAGTAGTAGTAGTAGTAGTAGTAGTAGTAGTAGTAGTAGTAGTAGTAGTAGTAGTAGTAGTAGTAGTAGTAGTAGTAGTAGTAGTAGTAGTAGTAGTAGTAGTAGTAGTAGTAGTAGTAGTAGTAGTAGTAGTAGTAGTAGTAGTAGTAGTAGTAGTAGTAGTAGTAGTAGTAGTAGTAGTAGTAGTAGTAGTAGTAGTAGTAGTAGTAGTAGTAGTAGTAGTAGTAGTAGTAGTAGTAGTAGTAGTAGTAGTAGTAGTAGTAGTAGTAGTAGTAGTAGTAGTAGTAGTAGTAGTAGTAGTAGTAGTAGTAGTAGTAGTAGTAGTAGTAGTAGTAGTAGTAGTAGTAGTAGTAGTAGTAGTAGTAGTAGTAGTAGTAGTAGTAGTAGTAGTAGTAGTAGTAGTAGTAGTAGTAGTAGTAGAATTATGATTTACAGGTGATATTTAAGATTTTCATCACGAACTGACATCAGTTATCATTTCAAAACTTTATTTAACCAAATGGATAAGTAAATTTCGCACCAAAATCGAAGTTCACTTATCTTATATTCAGTTGATTACTTCGTCAATTATAGTTTGGTCATAAATTTTCTTATAACTATTATAACCACTGTCAATAGAGGATTCATTTTTATGGTGGAAAAGATTTATAGCTCAAATGGATGATTTTGATGGAGTTTTGTTCTCTGAGCTGGATGGTTTGGTCGTAAGCAACAAATCTTCTTCACCATCTCAAAATCTTATGAATGTAATACGCTTTTCGTTGTTTGAAAATGGCAGAATTTTGCCAAAACGCAGGCTTTTACTCGAGAACAACTATATTTTCTACATGAACACGATCAAACTATCCAGCTCAGAGAACAAAACTCGATCAAAATTCATTTTTGTTTTTTTCTTTAAAAATAGCGAATGAATTGGCAAACTATTTAAGAATGTATATTGAAATTTCAATTAGCCCCATCACATCTTTTTTTCATTTATAGATGGATTCCCATGAAATGGTGGAAGGGTTCTTCTGGTCATACTTGAAAACGAAATTGGATTAGAGGTGTTCGTAGTGACCTGATAACGTGATCGCAATGCCCAAGGGACAACTGCTTGAGGTCGGTCACATACGATCATTTTATGGGTAATTTTCGTGTTAGCTCTGTAGCTGACTGACTAACTGACTAACTGAGGAATTACAATTATGATTTACAGTTGATGGTTAGTGTTAGGAATTAGATTTAAGGGGAGGGGAGGTTTCATCACGAACTGACTTCATATATAATGTCACAACTCTATTTAGCCAAATGGATGAGTGAATTTCGCGCCAAAATCCGAAACCTCTTATATCTGATTGGTTTATCCATAAATAATAGTCTCGCCTATTGACCCTATGTATAATGGAGTACATACAGTTAATGTTTATTTCATTTGGTATTGTTTTACTTGAATCTTCTCATTGATGTTTTAGGACTGAAATTGATCAGTCTCTTATTGGCATATGTGCATACTGTGCGTATTGCTTCAATATTGCCTTAATTTACAAGTAAAACAATACCAAGTGAATGAAACTTCACCCCATTGAACAAGCAAATGGCTATCAGGACTTAGTAGCTAAGTGGATAACACGATGGCGTTTAAAGCGAACGGTACTGAGTTCGAATCCCAGGGTGGACACCAACTCAGGTGCAATTACATCCAGCTGACCGGTCCCAAACAAGACGAAACGCGCGTCAAACTAGATTATACTGCTAGTCACTATCCATCTTTAGTTTATGTTTATGTTTCTAGGTAAAAAGTGAAAAAAAATTTAAAAAAAGAAACCCGACGGGAAACCTGGAAAACTTGGGCGTATTTCATCATTTTCTCTTATAAAAAAATTTGTTTATTGATTAAATAAAATTTCAGGACAATAATTGTTTCCTTTAAAACTATGAGTCATAAACAACAACAACAAACAAACAAACAAACAAAAAAACGCCTGTCTGAAAGTTCAGACTAAGTTAAGATAACAAAAATGGATTAATTGTAGAGATGACTGTTTCGTCTTCGTATAAGACTCTTCAGCAGTGCATATTCATGATTTAAAATCAATAAATTTTAATCTCATATATGAATACTAAACGTTTACATGATTGAGTTAGCATTCAATTGTGTTAATGTTTATGTTATGTCCCTACAAGAATAATGAATGGTAACTTTTGGGATCTATTGATGGGGACCAATACTAAACGTATATTTCCATTGTATAATTATTAAGTAACTAAACTATACATATTCATATTCCTCCTATTATAAGCTTAAGTTTGACTTATGAACCATTATTATACGTTTTACCATTCTTGAGTTATACCCAATATATTAATTACTACCTCCCTCATTCACAGCCACATATGGCTAATTCTTGTACAAATGTTGTTTCATATTTTATTGGTACGTTGTGGTCTGTTTGATTGGTATATAAACTCAGAATGTTTGAAATATAATGATTCAGATGGCAGAGTCTCGGATTGGTGTTCTGGACTTAAATGGCTGGGCTAGGCGGAAAGCATGGCCAATCAGAACTGTAGGCTGTTCATACGGGTTTACGCGTCATTGATCCGATCGATAATTCACTGTACACTAATTGGCGGTTACAAGTTATAACAGTTTAATTTCAAAAAATTGACCTACTGTCTATCATTGTCTTAAAAGTGTTGCTATCTCACAACAGATACAGTTAAATTGCATCGGTCATGGCTTATCATTAGAACTCCAGTAAAATACCTCTTGAAACCATTCACTAGTGAGCATTATTAAAATCTCCACAAAATCCCCTTTCTGATAATAATAATAATAATAATAATAATAATAATAATAATAATAATAATAATAATAATAATAATAATAATAATAATAATAATAATAATAATAGTAATATGCTTACTAGTGACGCTTAACCCGTAGATCACTGAGCCGGCATCCAACGGCTCTCTAGTGCTTCCACCAAGTTTTCCATGGTGATCTAACCTTAAGAAGAAGAAAAAACAATACTAATTTAACTGTATTATTTCAACTCTATAGCTAATATTTACATAAAACGTGACCTGATTGAATATCTGGATTACCTATTCTTGTCATTAAGATTGTAGTGTCGGTTATTATATTAAGCTCATATATCTTATTCTAGGTTTCGGACAGATCATTTCATTCATTCTACTTGAGTCACATTCTAACCTTGTTATTTATTCGCTTATCAATCTTGATTGTTTTTATATGAGCACGTATGTGTGCGTACATTTCCAATCCCATTGCTCATCATATGTCTGTAACTTACTTTTGTGTAACTATAACTATTGATTAATGCTTGATTAAATGGGAGTTGGCTTACCCACCATCTCCACTGTGCGTCGTTTTGCTTTGTTCTATTTCATTCGCTCTATATACAAAGTCTATGTACACAAAAGTCTATTCTCGTTATTTGAATTATTAAATTGTGTTATTGACTAACACAATTTAAGTCGATGATGATATACGAGGATAGGCGATAACAAACAATCATTACGATCTAATCGGAGTCAGATCCATGGGCCACTAAAAGATATTTCAACTAATTATCTGTTTCGTTTGTTTGTTTCAACTGATCATTATGGTTATTAATCAGATAACCTATTTAGGTGCATTTGAGAAAAGTTCACGATTTTTTGACTGTACAAGCTATAAAAGAGTTTAATTAGAGATATCATGGTTGTTGGTAATATATATTGAAAAGAATATACATGATCCAGATATCGATTCCTGAACTGTTAACATCTGATTGAAGATCATTCAATATTTGCCGTCAGGATCAACCAAGAAGAAAGAAATGGAAACTTGTTGAAATACTTTGTACTGAGTATTCTATATACTATCGAATAAAGTCATTAATAATAATAATAATAATAATAATAATAATAATAATAATAATAATAATAATAATAATAATAATAATAATAATCTTTTCCTAACAAAATTGAACAATGAATACAAATTCCAAAACTAATTACCATACTTAACTCTAGTTTCAGATTTAGCATTACTTACTTACGTCTGTTAACTCTTCATGGACGAGCATAGGCCGCTCACTAACATTCTGCATCCAATTCTGTTCTGGAAAATGCTTTACAGTTGCTATTCATTCTTTTCATGTCTCCTTCTAATTCCCAACATAATATGTTCTTTGGTTTTCTTCTTTTTCGTTTCCCTTCACGATTCCAAGTTAGCGTTTGCCTCATGATAGTGTTTGATGATTTCCTCAATTTGTATCCTATTCACTTGCAAACTGTTTTCCTAATTTCCTCCTTAGATGGAACCTCGTTTGTCCTCTCCCACAGTAGGCTGTTGCTGATAGTATCCGGTCAATGGATATTCATTATCTTACGTAGATAATTGTTTGGAAATACTTTTGCCTATTTGATGATAGTTGTAGGAGCTCTCCACGTTTCAGCTATATAACTAAATGTATTGACGTTCGTTTTGAAGATTATCATTTTGATATTGGCTTGACGACAGTTGTTTTGAGTAGCATATGTTGTTCAACTGTAGGAATGATGCTCTTGCTTTGTTAATCCTCGCATTTACGTCTGTATCAGATCCTCCACGTCCATCGATGATAGTACACAGACACGTGAATGTTTCCACCTCCTCCAGAGTTTCTCCATCAAGTGTGATAAGGTTGGTGTTCTCCGTGGTGAATTTGAGGATCTTGCTTTTTCTCTTGTATATGTTCAGGTCTACTGATGAGGAGAGTGCTGCTACATTATTCGTCTTGACCTACATTTTTGATGTGCACGGAATAGAAGGACCAGGTCATCTGTGAAGTCTAAATCGTCTGGTTACATACAACCTGTCCATTTTATTCCATTCTTCCCCTCAGATATAGAGGTCTTCCTGTCATATTTAACATAAATAATGCAATAAAAGAATTAAAGCATTTAAATCATATTAACGCTTGGAAGAAATGAAAAAACACATGAAACAAAATGAATTCATCCTATTCTATGTGTAGATTACTTACTTACTTATGCCTGTTACTCCCAATGGAGCATAGGCCGCCAACCAGCATTCTCTAACCCACTGTGTCCTTGTCATTTCTTTCTAGTTCTATTCAATTGTTGTTCATTCTTCTCATGTCTGTCATCATTTCTCGACATAATGTTTTCTTTATTCTTCCTTTTCTCGTTTAGCTTTGAGAATTCCAAGTGAGGGTTTGCCTTGTGACACAATTCGTTACTTTCTTCAACTTGTGTTAAGTTAAAACAAATCCAATCAATATTGAAGTTTCTTTATCGTTATGATTCAAAATCTCTATTCATTCAAATAATGATTCAGTAGTACAAAGTATTTCAACAAGTTTCCGTTTCTTCTTTCTTGATCGATCCTGATGATGACTATTGACTGATTGTCAGTTATAAGTTAGTAGATCAGTCAATCGATAT